CCGCGGCCCCGCGAGAAGCGGCCCCAGACCCGCTCTCGCTCCCCAGAGAAGAAGGGAGTGGTGAAGGAGGTTTCTCCAGCCCCACCTGTGCAGGGTGAGCCAAGACAGAATGAAGACCACCTGGCCAAGCCCCAAGCCGTAGCCGAGGCAGAAGGAAGCGTCTTGCTAGAAGGAGCTTTGACCGACAAGGCCCCCCCACAGGCCCCTCCTGTCCTAGAAGTCGTTGATGAGTGTGCACCCGATGACCTGGATTATGGTGACTCTGTAGAGGCAGGCCACATCTTTGAGGACTTTTCCAGTGAAGCTGTCTTCATACAGCTTGATGACATGAGCTCCCCACCTTCTCCAGAAAGTACAGATTCCTCGCCAGAACGAGACTTTGCACCCATCCCCACTCTGCCCCCACCCAGCCAGCTGCATGGCCCTAGCGTGGTTGTGGCCAGCATCCAGAAGGAGGTGTCACTGATTGCCCAAGAAGACATCTCACAGGCTCCACCCCAGGCAGGGGGCCTGCAAAAACAAGACACCTCTGAGACCACTGCAGTTCCTGGTACCCTGGGCGTGGCCCCCGTGGGGAAGGAGGACAGCCACGTGGCAGGTGGGAGTGCATGTGAGGCAGCCAGGCCTGAGGAGGTGGTCTCTCAGACCCCACTGCTGCGCTCCAGAGCCCTGGTGAAGAGAGTTACCTGGAACCTGCAGGCCTCCGAGGGCAGCAGCCTGGCCCAGGACAAAGCCCCGAGTGAGTGGCCCTTCCTTGGGCTGGCAGGACATGCAGCAGGAGGGCACCCCTCAGTGGGGAGGTGGGTGGGGCAGGTGGGAGAAGGGCCAGCTGGCCTGGCACCTGCTGGCTCTTCAGGGCTGGGCTCCACCCAGAGGCCAGCAGGAGGGGACGGGTTTTGGGTTGACCTGTAGTCCTTGCTGTAGGGGTGCTTTTCTGGAATGTGCCAGCGAAGCAGCAGTGTCCTGGCCAACAAGTGGCCACAGAGCACCCACTTCTATCTGTTGGGCCTTTAGGGACCCCCCTTCACAGGCCACAGAAATCCCGGGAAGGAGCCTGGGAAGCAGAAGATGGAGTCCCCACAGAGGTCAAGCAGGGACTACACTTTGAGCTGCCTCCTCCCAGTCATGTACTTCCGGAGCCTGGGTTCCCTCACGTGGACCCCTCTCAGGTGGGTGCCTGGACCACGGGCCACAGGCCGCAGTCTTGGACCCGTGCCATGCAGGTTGTGCCCAGCTGGGACCTCCAGCTGCCACTACCTTTCTGCCCAGCCCCTTTGAGCTTCGGCAGTGGGGGGTGCTGGCGGCTGGGCTCTACACTCAGGGGGGTGTTCTTGCCCAGGTTCACAGCCCCATCATGCTTCCCGCCCCGGCTCAGCCCTCGAGCGTCCCGCCCTACGTACCAGTCAGCCAGCCCATGGTCCAGTTTGCCCTGCAGGGGAACCTTCCCCTGGCGGGCTGTGGGGCGGCACAGAGCCTGGCCCCAGCGCCCACCGTCCTGACCACAGCCTCAGAGCCAGCCAGCCAGGCCACCGCCACCAACAATGCAGAAGAGAAGACCACCACTCCCAGGCCAGCTGCAGAGAAGACCAAGAAGGAGGAAGTGAGTCGGCCCACCCATTTTGAAGCTGGAGTTGTGGGGGCTAAGGAGGGACTAGCCAGCCTGGTGGGCCTCTGCTTACCTAGAGCAAGGAGATGGCCTAGGGCTGGGGCGCCCCTTGCCACCCCCCAGGCTCATGGTGCCCTGCTCACGGGACACGCTTGTCCTCCCCCCAGTACATGAAGAAGCTGCATATGCAGGAGCGTGCCGTGGAGGAGGTGAAGCTGGCCATCAAGCCCTTCTACCAGAGGAGGGAGGTGACCAAGGACGAGTACAAGGACATCCTGCGCAAGGCCGTGCAGAAGGTGGGCCGCGGGCATGTCTGGAGCAACCGGCAGGGTGTGCTCGCTGCACTGTGTGCTCGTTACCCTGCACCTAACTCCATGCCAGTCCTTGTCACCGTGTGCTCCTGGAGGTGGCCTGTACTGCTGGGGCCCAGCTGCTGACTGTAAGCTCGCCCTGGCTCCCTGCAGACAGGGAGTGCTCCTTAGCAACTGCGAGGGGTGCAGAACCCTGTTTCTGACTACTTGTTAACTAGATGGTACTTAGTGACCCGGCCCAGTCCAGCTTCCAGGTGGAAAGCCAGGCCCTGAGAGATGAGCAGGTGTCTGGCAAGTGGATCTCCTCTCCTGCCAGGGTCTTGGAGTTCAAATCCCTTCTTCCTGTCGACACTGGGTGACACACCCATGAGACCCCGCAGCCCATGGGTGGTGGAGTATACTGGCTCTCCATGCTCCAGGGGAGGTGAGGGGAGGTGGCTGCACCTGATGGCTGTGGTGGCTGTCACTGCGAGTGCCTGCCTGTGAGGACACTTGTTGATTGCACTTCTTTCTCCAGATCTGCCATAGCAAGAGCGGCGAGATCAACCCCGTGAAGGTGGCCAACCTGGTGAAGGCCTACGTGGACAAGTACAGGCACATGCGCAGGCACAAGAGGGCCGAGGCCGGGGAGGAGCTGCCAACCCCGGGGCCAGAAGGCTGAGGCCAGGCAGGCAGTGGGCGATGCCCCTAGCACCTGGTGGCATTTCTGTCTCTGAGTGGCAGAGGACTGGGGATTCCGGCACTCCTGTCTTCGGGGTTCCTGTGGTGGCACTGGTCTGTGTGCCTGCCTTGCTCACAGTTGAAGACTGGACTTTTTATATGTATATTATAGATACACAGTTTCCATTGTGTTCTAATTTATCAAAAATGGATTATCTTTAGAAACTTCTTGATTGGCTCAGTACTTGGAAGGTGAACCTTTTGGTTATCAGGACAGTGTCCTGCTTGCCTGTGGCTGGGGAGGGGGACTCCTGCCAGCAGCTATTTCTTTTTTCTCCCTTTTTTTGAAGAGCGTTTTTTTGCTCTGGGGCGCGTGTGCTTGCTGGAAAGACAGAGAGCGATAGAGACAGAAAGCGAGAAGTCACCCCAGG